TTCCGTGTTGATAAGTAGTTGTAGACCAACCTTCAAGAACGTCCCTTACCTATTTAAGAACACGGGCCGACCACCAGTCGACCATGGCGGAACCTACCGTCAACAGCCGAATATTTTAAAATTTTGAAACATTTAGCTGCGGTGAAGCCAAAAACCATTTCCACTGAGGTATTAACCGCTGAGTGACCATTGAGCGAGGTAGGTACATATGAAAAATTCCACAATAAACCACATTTATTTGTAGCTCATGCGCGAAAGAATGCATTTTAAAATTGCATTGTTTCGTTGTCGTTTAAAATGTTTGAACAATAACATCCTTTGTGGAATATATTCCAATTTATATTTAAAGGAATCTTAACTTGAAACGTTCACTAAACGGAACGTTGCTGAACAGACTTAATTTACTTAACATTCCAATATTAAGTAGGTCATATTGCTTCCTGGTAATTACTAAAAAAATTGAAATCGGTGTAATTGGACATTAAAACAAAAATAGGCGTTAAAGAAATTTTAAAAAAAAGTAATACCTTACCTGCCACTAAGACAGCGAGAAGCATCACAGTCAAGGCGGGAGAAAAGTTCATTGTGGAGTTCTTTTCCAACCCCTGAGAAAAGTTTGCAGTTCTCTAACGCGATTACGTTTTGAACTGTGCAGGCCTGGTGTACCAGAAAAAGTGGCACGAGAACAATTGTCAGCAGATTTTATCCAGACCGTTTGTCAGTTAAGGTTGTTTATGAGGCAGTCGTTTCTTCACGTTAAAAAAGTAAACAGCCCTTATGTAACTTTATTGTGAAATCACAATCGATCAAATGCTATTGTATTTTATTTTACTGTCGTTCATACAATAGAAAAAATGTGCCCATGTAATAAATATGTCGAACTAATCTTAAGGAGGCTTGTGCCATTGTTCCATTATATTACGCAGGCGCCCATACCAATTGATTATGACATATGCCATAACTCTGACGTAAAAAAACGAGTAATCAATTACCTCTGTACTTCTCTGTCGTTATAATTACCTTTTCAACGGGTTTAAACTATTGTTTGTTTGTACGAAGCTAAGAGTGCAGCACCTCGTATCAGTCTTGTATCAGCAATGACGAAATTTTAGCTGCCACAATGCAAAAAAAAACTATCTTTGTTTTATATCTTTTATTGGTGTTGTTGCCTTGTATTTTATCAAATATATATTGTTTAACTATCGGACGTTATAAAAGTGACACAGTAGTGTCCATGTAACAATAGAGTGATTTAGAATTAATAACGGCGATCAAAGAATAAACAGATCCTTGCTGACCATCAATAACAGTTGAAATAATTAGATAGCAGTTAGCAGATAGACCAATGAGAGGATGCCTGTAGTAGTAATTCAAAAAGTTTAGTTCAATACAATTGTAACACAACGAACACCGAAGCGTTGTAAAAGACAAATGGGTAATGACATAGTACGATCTAAAGGTAGATAATAAGCTATAAAATATAATTTGAATAAGACACAATTCACAATGCAAGGCAAATGCAAAACGTTTTACTGATCATTTACATTGACAAAACACAGGTATACCTGTATACGTAGATCCAAAGCTATTCAATATTGATACAAGGAGACATGCCTGGCACAATCCTACCAAATTTAATAGAACCATGAGCGGAAGACTTGTTAGTTTTTATACATCTCTCTCTTCTTCTAGTTCTGCTGTATGAATGCTGTCTAATTCCCCATTGGGTCGATATGTATTAACCGTAGAATAATAAAGTGAGATAAAAACGCATATTTTCATTCTCGTTACCGCTTACATTACAACACATGCACATACCTATTAATTTCATTTCGAAATTCACGGAATTGTACTAAAATAGTTAAACTCTTTATGTTAAAATGAAATCGGCAAAGATCAACCTGCTTACTCGTTTGCTAACGTTTTATTACTGATTATCATCTGTGTCCGAATGATTGTTTTGAATATAACAAGGAATAGAAATATGCAGCTTTTTGAATGCATGAATAAATGTATTGGATATGTGCCCTGTGCAGGTGTATTTATTAGTAGTTTTTTTTTCTAAACGATATGGGGCATCAGTTTAGGATTTTCTCTCTTCAAAGTTTCATGATATATGCATGTTTGCCTCTTTGTTGGAACCAGTAGAAAAAAAAAGATAGAAAAAGCGACTGAATCATAAAATTTAATGTTAAAAGAAATGCAAAAAGTTTCAAAGATGAATTAGATCGTCATCAGAAGATGATGGTGATTCCATCCTTCCATGTGCACCATTGTCTGTGGAAGGTGTGGAAGTATTCTGTTGAGAAAATGAGCCAACAAACAATGGTAGTTGCGCATCCCTTAGTCTATCATAGTTTTCGGTCAATGATTGTTTGTTTAGACTTCGTGTATGGTTGTCTGGGATGGAAGTAGAATGAGGTTGTGTAAGATAGGGCGGGTGATATGAAGAACCAGGTTGAGGAGGGGCTGAGTCTATCTGTGATGATTGGGCAGCTGTTTGTGTGCGATGTGACGGGTAAAAAGAAGGACCAGGTGGTAGAGGAGGGGGTGAGTCTCTCTGTGATGATTGGGCAGCTGTTTGTGTGCGATGTGGCGGGTAAAAAGAAGGACCAGGTGGTAGAGGAGGGGGTGATTCTCTCTGTGATGATTGAGCAGCTGTCTGTTTGTGATATGGCGGGTAAAAAGCAGGACCAGGTTGTTGGGCTCTTTGTGTACCAGAAGGTGTGATTTGTCGTGTCAAATTTGTTGATCTTTGTGTGCCAAAGGTTACATTTGAAGTAACGGCAGAATGTTGAGAAAGTAATTTTGTTTTTGGTGACTGGGTTGCTTTGTGTGGAACATAGGTTGTGTGAGACGTCATAGGTGGTTGTCGAGAATTTGATTTGGTGCTGAATGATGATTGGGCAGCATTTTGTTTAACATAGATTGAGTTGTTTGCAGACGTTAACTGTTTAGAAAGTATTGGATGTGTTGCAATACGAGCGCTTGTCACTGATTGACCAGGGGATGTATACGACTTGCTGGATAAATGGTAACTTAAACCTGAATAGACATTGTCTGAGAAAAGTAGATCAGCCTGATATTTGATGAGATATGCAGGGTAGCACTGATCATCTTTAAAGACAACAAAAATTTCGGGATTTGATTCGTCATCCACACATGAGTCATAGAGGTCACCGTTTGGATCGCTAGGGTCAATGGGAGGGGGGCGTGGGATGTTACTCTTTCCTTTGGTGTAGATACCAACTAAAACATTTGCCAAAAACATGTATCGTGTACCATCAGCTAATGCTTTTGAGTACCTGTGGCTGTAGGAAGCTTTCTTTGCAAAGTAACTTCCCTTTCCATACAAGGTAGCATTTTTCCCACTGAGACGGAAGTCAAAGTTCTGATGACAGATCCCCTTGATGATGTCCGGGTCTGTTCCGTGGAATAGCTTCCTTTCATCTAGAAAAGTAAGAAAAGTGATTTCAATTAGTCGATACATACATACATACATACATTCATACATAATCATACTCAGAGGGTTATTAGTTAATACGTTAATGTAACCACTCTGTGCACTACATGCACAAATTGCACCACAATGAAAACTTAAAGTTTATGAAACAAATATGGTTAATAATAATGGGATTTAAGAAGTACTACACTGGACGAAATAGGTACGGATACACCCATATCCAGGCCGTTATTTCGCCGCATCCTATAAGGATACAGGCAAATACCGGCAGATACGGCTCGCATTTGTTACGGATCCGAAATTCCGCATCCCTGAATCCGGACTGTTTTGGATGCGGACAAATCCGACAATCGTATTTTTCGCAGATGCGATGACGGCTTTTGTAGGAAACTTTTTGCATCTTTAAGGTGGACCACGCTAAAACGTCGGAATTTTGTTGGATCCTAACCAAATCCGGTCGCTGATTCCCTGTATTTACGACGCATACGTGTGGACGATATTCGAATTTTCCAGATGTCAACAAATCCGATACATGAATCCGTCCGTATTTGCTGCGAATGTGCAGATACGAAATCAGGATTTTCCCGTATCCCTCACGAATCCGAAACCTGAATCTCCCCGTATTTGCTGCGAATGTACGTGCGGATACGAAATAAGGATTTTCCCGTATCCCTCACGAATCCGAAACCTGAATCCCCCCGTATTTGCTGCGAATGTACGTGCGGATACGAAATAAGGATTTTCCCGTATCCCTCACGAATCCGAAACCTGAATCCGTCCGTATTTGCTGCTAATGTGCGGATACGAAATAAGAATTTTCCCGTATCCCTCATGAATCCGAAACCTGAATCCGTCCGTATTTGCTGCGAATGTGCGGATACGAATTTAGGATTTTCCCGTATCCCTCACGAATCCGAAACCTGAATCCCCCCGTATTTGCTGCGAATGTGCGGATACGAAATAAGGATTTTCGCGTATCCTACACAAATCCGTAATCTGAATCCCCCTGTATTTGTGCAGATGAAAATTCGGACTTTCCCGGATCCTATACAAATTTTCAACCTGAAGCCCCCTGTATTTGACACGAATGCGAAGATTCGGTAGTTGCACACATGAATTTGTTTTTAATGCTATAAAATAGACCGACACAGCTATTCTATACATCAGCATGTCTATTTCTACACATTACATCTACTCTACATCATAACTAACATTTGTACCTAACTTGCATTTACACATCCGGCATCTACTTTATATCACTATTTTGGGGTGAGCGTGGACAGCTTTGATGTAAGATAAAGAACTAAATACAGATACTAGTATACTATACACGCAATACAGAAACAGCAAAACAAAAAATCCAAAAAAAACCAACACATCTACTCTACATCATAACTAACATTTGTACATGTACCTAACTTGCATTTACACATCCGGCATCTACTTTATATCACTATTTTGGGGTGGGCGTGGACAGCTTTGATGTAAGATAAAGAACTAAATACAGATACTAGTATACTAGTACTATACACGCAATACAGAAACAGCAAAACAAAAAATCCAACAAAAAAAAACATCCGAAAAAAACAAAGTAGTCAAGTCAGGTACTAGTACATCTCCTACTCTACCCTCTTTTTCTTAGTCACAACCTCTCTCTGGCTACCTTCTCCCTCACCTGTCCCTCTCTTCCTCTGCCTTTTACACTTCTTACTTTCCTCACACCCCTCTGCCCCACTACCATCATCTCCGCTACCTTCCTCTCCGCTACCTTCCTCTCCGCTACCTTCATCACCACTGCCTTCATCTCCACTATCCTCATCTTCACTATCTGTAGCAGGAGCTTCAGTGTCTGAACTGTCCTCACTTTGACTCTCTTCCTGCCTTTCACTCTCGATCCCCCCCAAGTCCTTGTCTGTCCCCTCGGTCTCTTCCTGGTGCTCCACTTCAGTTCCTTGCTCTTGCACCTCTTCAGTATCCTCATCGGTCTTCAGGTACACCTTTTCCACGTCTGGTGGCGACCTTGTGCACGGTTGGTTAGTGCGCACACGCCGGGTCCTTTTGTTGTTTTTGTCCGGTTTCTTGTCTAGTTCTGTGTCACAGAGGAGCAAGATCTTATTGAACCTCTTGCTCCTCCATGTTGGGCTGCGAACCAGCCAGGTGTCCTTGTCGTCTATCTCTGACTCCTCGTCAGACATGAGTCTCGGTTTGGCGTCATCCAGAAGCCTCTGGTCCTCCGCTGTGAGCACTCCCCTTCCCGCCAACTGTCTCCTCTCCAATAACTGCGAAAAAATAAACATTGTATTAGATTCTTGACATACAGGCTGCAACTCAAATGAAAAGCTTGATATATATTTTATGAGCATATTTCACTCTCCCACATATCTCCCATCCCATGCAAAACTTTTCTGTTCATATCTACTCGTGTGAGCACACCAAAAACATAGCACTCTTGGCGATTGGGAATACTAATATGTGTACTAAGAAGAGGAAGTCCCGGGTCCTTCGGTTACAAGGATTCTAGGCCATGGATGCCCACTAGTGGTGCATACCTAAACCCACGTTAAGGTTCAGGTCCGGATTCAAGTCCAGAGGTTTAGGTTCAGTTCCGGACTTGTAAGTCCGGACCTAAACCCATGGCATGTACAAAATTGCATGTTGGCAACCTTGCAATGTTGTCTGGGTGAAACTTTGGCCACATAACATGGAGGCCGGTACTTGACAATGCCCGATGGCAATGTTTTCTTGATTTTGCAGCAAAGATTTTGCAATCTACGGAAGGTTTTAGGTGGTTTGGAAAGAAAAGGGGTATGTGAAATGGTCTTTTATGGTAATACATGTAAGTCCGGACTCGGTTCTTGACTTTTGGGTTTTTTTGGACTTGAACCTAAACATTCTTACAAGTCCGAATCCAAGTCCAGTGAACCGGTATGCACCACTAATGCCCACAAATGTGCACTTGAGATTTCAAGTATCCCATTTACAAATTTAACTCGCAATTTAACTAGCAAGTCATTTCTTGACCAAACGAGCAAGAAATGACTGATATACAAGAAATCGTGGCTTCTACTGGCATATCATTAAGTATGCTTTCAGCAATTCTGCCTGTTACCATCCCCATCAATGTCTCTATTAGCAAAGTATCATGATCTCGAAAAACTGAAGATTGTGAAGAAGTATTCAAGCCTTACCCTTGTTCGTCTGTTGTTCCTTTTACTCTCTAGGGCATCCTCCTCATCCTTCCCAGCTGCTGCCCTCCTCTCCCTTCGCCGAACAGTCTCATGGTAGTTCGAGCATGACCCTGAACAAGATGATAAGAGGATTTGAACTTAGTGATATGTTGACTAAAATATGGGTTAAATCTCTTCTAACAAGCAGGGTCAGGAGGAAAGGTCAGAAGAACAGTAGCACAGCTTTTCTAGCACAAAATGTACATTCAATTACTTGTACATGTATTTGGTGAAATTCCACAGAGTGAAGAGGGCTGTGTTGCAGAAATAAAAACAAAAAGGCAAAAGACAATAATAACAACAATATGTTTCTGAGCAAACAGAATCAGTATTGTGACTATAATATAAACTTACGAGAAATGTGGGACCTCTTCCAAGGCTTGTTGGGGTCTTGGTCATCCCTCACAGCTCTCTGGATCATCTCCGTGACCTTCTTGTTGTGGTCCGACTTGAACCTGTGAATAGAACAAAATGTTGTATATACAATTATAGCCTGCTTTACACATAACTTTTTCAAGTCAACTAGAACTCAAGACAACTTGAGCTAGTCGACTTGAACGAATATTTCCCCGTGTAAAGAGAAATAATTCAACTCAAGTCGCATTCTAATCAAGACGACTTGAGTCGTATCCAAACCAGACTTAAGTCGGCCAGCGGGGTGCCGAGTCCGCTAGTTTCGCGTGTGTAAACGGGCGAAGTCGACTTGAGCGTCTCTGCGTAGTAGTCAGGCAAGACTGAGCTACCGAGTCGAGGGGGGAGGGTGGCACAGCGGGAGTGCCAAGTTGCTTTGCAGCCCCGTTTGTAAACAGAAATTTTTCAAGTCGACTTCACATAGTTGACTTAGAAATGGTGTGTGTAAAGCGGGCCTATATCATACCCGGGCCGCCATAACGTTCTATAACGGATCCCATAAAACGATTAGAACACGTCGTTTCGCCCTAACCGCGTGTGCCCCTTTCGAAAATTCGAATACAGAATCTGGACGTTGGAATTGATGTTGTTGCATTTTAGGGTTTAGTGGCACCAACTTTTGGCTCATCTTGCATTGAAAGGCGTGTTTTCTTGGGTGGGTATGACATAACTAAAATACAACACGGTGTATTCCGCATCGCCCTCGGTCCCGGCCTTCCCGCGAGTCGGATTGATACCTCGGGCGATACGGAATACCCGGTGTTGTATTCTATATGTATTTATTATATGTAAACACTGACCTCATCACTATAGCTATTCATTAGGTTATTCACAGCAATTGTGATGTTGAGTAAGGGCAAGAGGCTTTGGTAGAATGATATTTATAACATGTTATATATATTGATATAGATATATATATATAATATCTATATATCTATCTACAGGGCCGACTGCCACTGCTTTGGTGGGAAATGAGCCTAGAATTTTGACTGGTGTGACCATATTTGAAATCATGCTAGCACAATGCGCCAATCAAAAATTAAGACCAACAAGCATTTTTTTCTTTGGTTTGTAAGCACTGTGCTTCCCTGTGGATTATAATCCCAGAGACCAGTACCAATTATACAATTGCCTATCCAAAGGGTAAAAAATCAACTGGAAATCCCACGGTGCTGGTTGAAAACATTTTCTTGTTTGTTGTAGCTGAGATTTGGTTGTGGAAATGCTTTAAGAAAATATTATGGTAGCTACTTGTAGCTTAGATTCAGATGACAAGGAGATTTTTGCTGGTGCACCCAATTGTTTTGGGCTGGGAGCGGAGTGCTCCTAAGTCAAAAAAGTTGGTCTGGAGCCCTGGTCTTAGTATATAAATATATATACAATGTACATGTGTTTGTGTGTGTATGTGTCTCTATTCACATACACACTATACAATATACAGGTATATATACCTTATACCTGTATATTGTAAGGTATATATACCTGTATATTGTAAAGTGTGCATGTGTGTATAAAACTGCTGCACTTATAATGACAATCTGCTTACAATTCACTTCCTCTGTACTGCATTTCACCGAGTCCATTGTGGATCTCCCTGACCTTCCGCTGTGAAAAACAGAAAAGAAGTACATGTATATGATGGGGTGTCATGGTAATGTTACTCTACTCAGCACTTGCAAATATATTTCATGTTATCATACAGTGGTTTGAAATTGTTTCCAAGTGCAAACAGCAATATCTGACTGAACTTTCTATCTTGATATAATGAATGTTTATGGTAAATCCTTGCCCAATGGCTACATTTATAGTGAATAAGACAAATCAATTTGCATGAAATTAACTTTTCACTGCTATAGCAAGTTCATGGAAAAAGAGTGACCGCAAATGACTTGTTGATGCTAATGACAAGTTCTTGGTAGAGAAATTACAGTGAAAAACACTATGTGCAATATCCTTGGTAAGCCCATTGTAACAATTAGCAGTAAGGCTATGTTGATTTGATTATATGGATGACATCCTCCGGGAACCCCAAAATTGATGCACGCGTGCGAATAAAAAAAAGTTGTTTTCATTATGAAATCTATGTGGTCATGAGGGTTGAACAAATGGGACAGAATATGGTTTGGCGAATAATCTAGTCTTCAAAGTTCATTTCTTTACAATTTCGTCTTTTTTCGTTTGATTTTGGCATTCTATGACATTGGTATGGTTTTTTTGTAACTTACGGTATATTTTTGCTCATTTTGCAACTGTTTTGTACGATTTACAGTATGGTTGAAAACTTTTTTTTTGGAAACGGCCGAAAATTCATGCGCGTGCGGATGTCATCCATACAATCAAATCAACATGGCCTAAGTTGTGAACACAGAGAAATAATCACTGGTTAATGTTTAAAAAACTCCAGCTAATGGAGCATTTATATTTCATAATAATTCCAATGTTCTCGGTCAATTAACTAAGTACACACTTACGCTTAGCATTGGGGGCACCTTCTTGGGTGTTGCAGGGGCTGGGGGCAGTGATGTTGGCTGACTATCAACCGTGGTCTGGATGCCATCCAGACTCTTCTTCATCTCCGCTTTCATCTCCTCCTGTCCCTTCTTCAACTCGGTTACTTGCTCTGAGAGAGCAGAGAGAACCCTGGAAAAAAATCAATACTTGATTAGCACCCCATTATCTTTTTTTCAGTCATCACCACATTGCTTTATTGAACATAAAAACTTTTACATATGTAGAGTAATTCTTATATTTCTCTCCATGTAGCTTTTAGTAAATCAAATGCATTCAGCCTACAGTGCACACATATCTACATATTGTAAATACAATTGTAACAGTTACATGTAATTATGTATAGGCCTTACTGATTTGAATACTTCATATAACGTTATATTGGTGATACAAGTATCTGGATCCGGGCCGCATGAGCCTGTTTTCGGCTGTTTCCAAAAAGGGTTGTGTAATGCCATTGATTAGGCCACAAGTTTGAAACGATTGGGCAACCGCGGACTTAAAAGTCAAAGCCAAAGTTGCATTACAATCAATGCAGAATACAAATAAAGTATGGGAGTAAAGCATTTTTCGGGGAGGGAAGCTATCAGATAAAATATTCTCATTTCTGGTTAACAATACAGGCCACAGTAGCCTGGTATCCAGTCTGATCGTGATTGGGGGTATTGGGGTGTTTAGGCAGGTTGTGTCTTCGGGGCCTCTAAGACCTTCCCCCGCCCAGTGCAACAGACCGTCCCGGTAGGAGTGTTACGCTAATTAGAGACAGTATGCTCGGGGATTTGGTTTCCCCTGTTCGTGGAGGGCTAATTAATCTCTCGTGAAATACACACCGGGACGCTTATGTGAGGCGGGCGGGCCAGAGCTCTTGCGGTCCCGACCACGAATCAGACTGGATACCAGGCTAAGGCCACAGATGGCCGGACATAATTAATGGGGGTAGCCCAATTGCACAGCAGGGTAAGGTGCCACAAGATGGTACAAGGAATGTGGGGAAGTGTCAAAAAACAGACCACCCCAGGAGAAACTAGAAAGATCAGAACCGCACATTTTCCCGTTGGCTGCACGATGCTCCGTTTTCGCCCCGTTTTTTTGTTGCTGTCCCGAGCTTCCCTACAGTATAGACCCATAATTGGTCGGGTTGCCGATGTTCTGATCCGCCTAAATATTCAACAGCGCGACCGATTTTACCGCGGCCATCTTGTATATAGTCGGGGTCTCGGGGACGTCGGGATTGTTCGGTAGCGTCACGATCACCGAAGCGCGAGCGAAAGCTCTCCGATCATAACCGAAAAGGCTACCGAACGTTCCCGACGGCCGTAGGTTAGTCTCCACCAGACTTCTTTGCGGGGTGAATAAATCGTAGAAATCGTCCTAAAAAGGGTATTAAATTATTGGCCAGAGAAGGTAGCCGACCAGAGAAGCTCCGGGGCCCTGGAGCTTCTCTAATACCCTTTTTAGGCCGATTTCAGGGCTTTCTACGATTTATTCACCCCGCAAAGAAGTCTGGTGGAGGCTAGCCGTAGGCTATCTGGTGATACGAATATATGTTCCATGACTTGAAAAACTTAGCCTGGGTTCCAGACTCTCAGTGAGCCAGACAAAATATCTCAGCGGCGTCTCACACACAAGGACCAGACTGTAGATTCTAAGATATAAAGAGTCATAAAACTTTATCGGAATCTTACCTCCAGATGTCCTTCTTTGAAGGTGAAGCCTCGTAGCGGCCCGTCGACGGAGTCTCCTCTGGGCTAGGGCGTATGCCTTTCCGCTTATTCTTACCCTTCCTCTTTCTGTTGGAACTTTCAAACAGCGCGGACCGGCGGTCAGTTGGAGTGCGCGACATGACAGCGGGATGAGGTCGTACCGTGTTGGAGCAAGAACTGCTAGAAACAAGTCTGTCCAGCGTCAGGCGACTGAGAGAGCATAGCCCCCATGGGGCGTCATGCGGCTCGTGCTGATTGGTCGACCGGCATGATGAAGGGTAGAACAGGCGCCACAGGTTGTGTTTGTCGGCCTTTGACATAGTAGTTGGCACTTTGGGATTGTCACTGTCGGCGCCTTTTGTCTTATTTTCTCTCTGTTCTTCTAGCTTCTCGCACCAAGACGAGGAAGAAAACTTGCTATGCATAATTCTGATCCTTTGTGTTATACAACCGACTAGACTAGTTCCCACTTCGCAGCGTCACTGTCGGCGCCGTTTGTGTAATTTTTACACTATTCTTCTAGTCTTTATGCGGCCGCCGAAGCGCAGAAGGGAACTCGCTATACATAATTCTCGATTCTGATCCTTTGTGTTACATTAGCTGACTGGATTGGCGCGCCACTGTCTGTGCCTTTTGTCTTATTTTCACTTTATACAAATTATTTGGCGCCCTGGACCCAAGTCACGGGAATAAAATTATGAACATTTTCTCCTCGTGTCAGTGCAGCTGACGGTCAGAGAACTGTAACAGCTACATTTGTAAGTAGTTCAGAATGCCGCGTAAAAAGAAGGACAAATGTCGTGACCGTTGGTGTGGGCATTGCGGGGACATAGTACCCAAATCAACGTATTATGATCACCTGAAGATGTACGGAGCTGCAATGTGCAACCAAGGCAACGATGCTGAGCTGTCTGGAGCGTGTAACGCAAAGAAAGTAAGCATATTCCTTGCATTATGAGACTGCCATCATTTTCGTAGAGGTATTGTTTTGGCGGTCTGTTTGTGTTGGTGTAAATTCCGCATTTGTCATCAGCATAACTTACAGTATTTGTAAATGACGAGCTATAAACGGTTTAATACGCGCCATAGTTTATTCCAGGCTTCGGGGGGCGGCTGGGTAGAAATCGGCCAAATAGAGAGATAGCATATATAAAAAGCAAACGATCTTCCACCATCAACCAGGTCCTCTGCATGGAGAGTAAGATAGCATACCGGCAGGGGAGTTTATCCTACCGACTGGGTACCATCCTATTTGTAAGCCGGGGCTCCCACACACTAGCTACGTACTAGTACTAGTAATCCCCCCTAACAACTGTTAGGGAAGCGAGTGTGGGAGCATCCCAGCTAAGGGGAGTTGGTCTGCCGGGGTGTTTCATTAGCTGTATGGAAGGTAAACGCTTTGTGGGCAAGCACTTTCCTAGAAAAAAACTTTCAATTAAGGCAACTCCCTTCATTGAGAAAAATTCTAGTGAAGATAAACGCATATCTATGTAGCTTCTCTTTCTTTTAAAAACTTCTGTGGCAAATATTTTTATATTCTATTTGATATAACGTCCTTGGTTAAATCAAGGACATTATATACACTTGTAGTATAATGTCCTTGGTTAAATCGCGGCAAAAGGTATTCACACTACACGCAAAATTCCCCCCGCGCGAAAGTAAGCTATCCCTATGACCCGACTTGACCCTACGCGGCGCCATCATGAAAATGGTGCAAACCAACTTTGGATAGTAGCAGTGACAGAAGACAAGTGGTAACGTCTTGGGCACAATGCTTGTGGCCCATGGGGGACGGGACCGATGGTCGTTTTATGCACGACTGATCAACATGTTCTTAATTTTTTTGTCCATTCACAGCAAAAGCTGATGGGACAGTCAGACTCAGTCTCAGATGGACCGTCACCTAATGATCATGGCACAGAAGAAAGGCTTCCCTCAGATGTGGACAACACACACACCAACCAACTGATGACAGAACTCAGCAAGGTAATATAAGCATCATGTTTCACTGATCTCTGTATTTTTGTAATTGATCTGCCAGCTCCAGGAATTATCTAACACCTAAAGTCAGTAGCCGAACCTACATCTGACATTGATTATCACTTCCAAAAAGCAGATGTTTTGGGGGCTGGGGAAATACTAGTAGTCATGAAATGGATTGTACTAAAATGGATAAACAGATTGAGATGTTTATCCAAGACCCATACAAGTTTCACTGCAGTAAAATAACTATTTTGGCACAGATTTGGACCTGAACATCTGGTGTTCATTGTTTGATCATTTAGGTCACTATGATCTGATTTCTTATGGATCACACGTCTCATGCACACATATTTTTAATATTAATCTGTTTCAAAAATAAGAAATGTGCTACGGTAGTACCAAAGTGTAAACCACACAAAGCAGCAACAAATCTGTGCAAAAAATGTTCAACCTTCCAGACTAATTGGATTTCTTGGAGCACATAAGTACTTTTGACAGATTATGTACTGAGAAAGTATGGTCCCCCCTAGCCGTGGACGACTCTGTAACCCTTTTTGCATGATAATGCCGGGTACATAGTCGTGGTGCGATGCATAGGCCAAAACCAACCTTTGCCGTGCCGGGCCTCATGCAACGGGCCGGCCCCGGTTTTTTGGTGTCGCTGGCTTCCTAACGCACTCCCCTGCCGGGCCGGGGGGATAAGACCCTAAACAAACGCAGCATTTAACCACAACACGGCCTCGGAGCACGTAACTCCATACAAATCATCGGCGATCGACGCCATATTGAATTCAGGAATCGGCCCGCAAAACAGGCCGGACCCTGAGTTTACGACAAATTACGTCACATCCCTGCAGCTTGAACGTTGGAGAGTTGAAAATAACTGTCGTAAACTCAGGGTCCGGCCTGTTTTGCGGGCCGATTCCTGAATTCAATATGGCGTCGATCGCCGATGATTTGTATGGAGTTACGTGCTCCGAGGCCGTGTTGTGGTTAAATGCTGCGTTTGTTTAGGGTCTTATCCCCCCGGCCCGGCAGGGGAGTGCGTTAGGAAGCCAGCGACACCAAAAAACCGGGGCCGGCCCGTTGCATGAGGCCCGGCACGGCAAAGGTTGGTTTTGGCCTATGCATCGCACCACGACTATGTACCCGGCATTATCATGCAAAAAGGGTTACAGAGTCGTCCACGGCTAGGTCCCCCCCACCCCTCTTCATTGTGCTTGATGACCAATGTTTCCTAAAAAATGTACTCTAATTCAGGTAAATAATCATGTCTATAAGGATGCAATTACTAGTACAAGCCAGCTGCTCACCAGCCTTTGACATATCTATTCTGACTGAGACTCAGTGATGTATTAAACTTATATATATATATAAACACTTCCACAGTTGTCTGCAATTGGCAAAAGTAGCCTATTTTCCTGTGAATTGACTTCAAACATGATGTTGTGTTGATGTGCCCTCTACTTCTGTTTCCCAATTGTAGATTCCTGTTCAAGGTATGGAGCCAACATTCCACAATGTTGGTAGTGAAAGCTTTGAGATACTGGAAGCTTTTGTCAGAGACATGACAGAAGATCTGGTCAAAGGTTATAAAAAAGCAGAGGACCAACTGACCAATCTCCTTCTGAATGTGGATGCGCAACCAACAGATGACAGCGGCAGAAGAGGGGAGGCAGTGCAGTATGTGCTCCAGTGCCTTCAACTTCTGGACAAGCATGCTCAGATCTATGTGGAAGAAAGGGTCAGTGGCATTTCTGGCTGTCATATTTGACACATTAGTAAATTATAGGTGGACACCCCTTTGTACAAACTACTAGCACAATGTACTAGTATTTGGTCCTGTAGTACACATGTAATTTGCATAGATGATGTGATAGAACATGATGATGTGATGCTAAACAGAATTCTCCAAAAGGGTGGGTCTTTCTGGGTTTCACGTGCTGAGTATCATAACGTACACTGGAAATGCAAAATTTATTTTGGATTATTTTCTTGGCTTCACAGTGACCTTATAATCCATTGTGAATTCATTATACCACAGATGACCACTATGCTGTAGAATATGTGCCAACCAGCTGGTTTCTACCATGGCATGAACATAAACATTGCAAAATTTCCCACCGTGAAATTCAACGACTGCGAGAAAAAAAAAGTTTACAGTACTTAAATGTTTATAATAATAGTTTATTGACAACAATAAAGGTATATGGCAGCGTATAAGATCGCTCAGGCTTTAAAACAAGCCTGAACAGTAAGGTCGGCTAAACAAACAAAGGACATTGACAAACTAGATACAAACATAAACAAATACTGACTATACGCAGTTATAAAAATAGATCAGAAGTATCTGTTAATAGATTGAAAACTATGCTGGTATTGGGAGATTTCAACTTGCATGTTTATTTAAAAGGTCAACGAAATAAGGGATTGGACTGTTTAATTCAGAAATTGACATAAAAAAACTACATTGCAGCCTAATAATACAAAGAAAAAGGCTGAATTACACAGCTTCAGTATTTACAAACATAACCAAACTGAATAACAAGAAATAGTGGTGGAGTGATTACACAGGAGATAAAGCACTGTTCCGGAGTTCTGACAGCTACGGAATGGTACTGTTCCTGTGCCTGTCCGATCATATGAAAGGTACGCGAAGCTGGGACCCCCAGGTAGACAGGGTCAAAACGTTGGTGTATTTAACAGAGATTTTGCAAACTTAAGACAGAGTGATTCCCTTCTGGCTTTTAAACTAAATTAAAGTGCATTCTAGGTTAAAAGTAGAGAATGCATCAGACTATAGGGAGTGTATTTATTGCCAAGAACGATTCTGAGGGCATGTTTTTGCAATTGCATTCAAGTTGGTGGGATTGTATTTGTAGAGCGATTAGACCTGAGTGCCATACTGGGACTGCATTAGAAATATAGAATAATTCTATGGCACTGGTCAGACATATATAAGTAGTAAATAAATTGCACAAATATCTCCAGGGCAGACACCAAAGCGTTTTAGTTTCTTAAGCCAGTGGTGCAAGCTTACTTTATCAGGTCTCATTCCCTTGACTCTTTCGCCTTTTGCATTCGTTGCATAACTTGCATTTTGCTGTGGTATGAAGTGTTGCATGGGAAATAGTCCCAAATCTTACATACATGTATACAGGGACGGGTGCTATTTAGATGATACTAGTAATGTATGAGCAACCCATATATATGTGTGTGCATGGGCTTTGCAGGTCCTGAGGGTTTTAAAAGTTTTCAATGTTTCATGAGGGGTTTTAGTTGGTAATTGAGGTTCATAATCATATGGTTGAATTGAAAAATGTGATATAGATTGTATGTGCCATTAGGTGTACATGTATTTTTTCTGTCTTTTCAGCTGCACAACATAAAGTTCAGAGATAACACAGACAAGCTGCAGGAGGAAGAAGCTGCCCTACAAGAGTTACTCTCTCAGTTAAAAGTAAGTTCCTATATTACTTAATAAAATTGTATCATTTAGATTATACAAGAGAAACCAATTTGTGGTTTGTTAGTATTAAGTACCAATATCTTTAAGTTCTTTGGATTATGGTTACCATAGTATTGTATACCTACCAGTCCATTTCTTGAAATATACTGTTACTTATTCATGGCTACTCCACCACATAGGCTGGCTTGAGTGGTACATCCCATGGTGGTAATGACGACGAATCTTCAAAACCAACAACATCACCAGGCAGTGATATTGAGGTAATATAATTCATATTCAAATATCACATTTCCAATCTAACATTTTTAAAGATGTAGTCATCAGTAAAGCCCTCCCCACAACCATTAGCATGTTGGCATCTGGCTGCACCCATCTCTCCGTAAATAATTTCATCAGGTTGGAAGATACTTAGGGTATAGGATTTTCTTCTAACACAACCAGTAAGGTTCTCACCTGCTTACGTTTCGATGTCTATCAGACACCTTCCTCAGAGCTTCTGACTGGAGTTCTGCAACTCGCCGCTATTTAACGCCAATGACGACGGCGTTAAATAAAATCGGCAGTCACAGACCATGTTGCCAGAAACAATTGTGTGATAGACTGGGAGGGTGCCAGGGTCATAGATAGGGAGGACAACAGAAGAATCCGTTGGATTAAAGAAGCAGTCTGGATAAGGAAGTCTACCCCAGTGATGAACCGGGACGAGGGGGGATACAAGCTCAGCCACGTTTGGGATTGCATTCTCGCCGCAAAAGCGCCACCTACTTTGGCGTTAAATAGCGGCGAGTTGCAGAACTCCAGTCAGAAGCTCTGAGGAAGGTGTCTGATAGACATCGAAACGTAAGCAGGTGAGAACCTTACTGGTTGTGTTAGAAGAAAATCCTATACCCTATGCACCCATCTCTGTTTCGTAGCCCTTGGGCCACACAGTTATGCAATTAGCAGGGGGCTAGTCTACTGGTAATGTTGTTGAGTGCTAAGCAGAGAAATTCAAGGCAGTATGTACCTTTTGAAAATCTTTGGAATGACTCGACTGGGGATCAAACTCACGACCTTTGACTGAAATGCAAAGCAAGCACTGTACCCACTTTTTTTCCCTGTCGCATCATATCTTATTGGAAAAAATCCAAGAACCAACAATCTAATTCGGTATGGACCCGTTCTTCCTCTTTTTCATTCTTATACTAACTAAACTGACAGGTGACATTAATTTTTACCCCTGAGAAGAAGATTCTCGGTCAGTGTTAACTTACTGTCAGCTGGACAAATTTTTTTGTATCTAATATGAACCCATTCATACCAGACTTCTATTTAGTGGTTTCAACTGGTTTTTGAAAAAAAAAACAGTTTTATTTAGCCCGGTGTGTATGCAAATCAACTTGTTTTTAGGGGTTAGAATACAATTTTCAAAAACCACTTTGTGAGATGGTTTGGCAATTAAGGTTTTTGAGAGGTTCTTCCGCAAAAAAAACTGGTCTGAGAACAAGGGGTTTATTTAACCAGTTTTTACGTCATAATGTTGGGTTCTTGGGGTCAGCATCTTCGTCGTGTGCAACCTCTAAGCCTTTCTGATCACATTGTTTTGAGTTTGTTTCCACTATTAATCAATAATTTTTCTTCATATTGCGATGGAATCAGCATATGCAACCTGCTTGGCGTACAAGACCATTAGCTTCTTTATCTATTTTTAAAGAGCAGGAGTCCTTAAAAAAACTTGGTTCATTGATTTAAATAGCATGGTTTTCCCCCACTAATTATTTAGCCGTTTCAACCAGATTTTGAAAGTCTGGTATGAACAGGGTCTGTATGGTGAATCACTATTGGGGTCCAGATGATGTATATAGTATATAGTAGAAGGTTTCTCCCAGAAACAAAAACCAAATTACAACATATTATTGGGGCATTGTACTTGTAGCAACAATGGTCATAATATATTAGCCTTGAAGGGTCTCCTTGCAGCAGTTTTCATCTTAAGATTTTTTTTACATCAAAATTCATACTTATCAACATAGAAAGCTTGGTACCTAAAGAAAAGGCATTTATTTCCTTACTTTTTTTTATGTACAGCATTCTGATGAAGAAATCTGGTGGGACACAGTCGAGAACCTTGGGCACAAGGAAGTGCAGGATGGAAGAATAGAAGAGGACAGCAGTGACTCTGAGCAAGAGATGGAAGTGGAGCAAGTGGAGGAAGAGGAAAACAGTGGTACCTTGTCATGGATGCACACATTTCTGTTGTATTTAACTGTTTGGAAAACAAACTATAACATTTCAGATAATGCCATGGTAGGATTGCTGTGTGTGATAGGATTCATTCTGAATATGCTTGGCTGCCTCCTGAATATTGAAGTGATCAAGAACCTTGCAACAATGTTTCCTCGAACCATGTATATGCTGCGAAAGAAATTGAGTGTTCAAAGGGATGATTTTACTCGTTATGTGGTGTGTCCAACATGTGACTCTGTGTACACCGTGGATGAAGCCACAAAAGTAGTAAGGAATGGAAGAGGAAAGGTTGTCAAAAGAAAATCTCAGAAGTGCTCCTTTGTTGAATTCCCCAGGCATTCACACAGAAACTTCCGCCGTCCTTGTGGCACTTTGCTCATGAAAACAGTAGTTGGCAAAAATGGTGTTGAGTATGTACGCCCCAAGCGCACATTTTGTTATCGCAGTATTATAGACTCACTATCAGATTTAGTTAAGAGACCAGGATTTTTGAAGAAATGTGAAGAATGGAGAGGCCGTAATGTTCCAGAGGGTGTCTTTGGTGATATATATGATGGAAATGTGTGGAAAGATTTCCAGCATTACGATGGCAAACCTTTTTTGTCTGAACCGTATAATCTAGGATTTATGATGAATGTTGATTGGTTTCAACCATATGACAAGGTAAAGGATTCCATTGGTGTTATCTATCTGGTTGTCATGAATTTACCAAGAGAAGAGAGATTTAAGAAGGAAAACATCATCGTTGTTGGTATTATACCAGGTCCAAAAGAGCCCAAAATGCACATCAATTCTTTTCTAAAGCCATTAGTCAAAGAATTAGAAGAATTGTGGGAAGGTGTATTTCTCCATGACACATCAGCTATAGGTTTGAACATGTATCGTGGAGCTTTATTATGTCTGTCAAGTGACATCCCAGCCACCAGGAAAACGGGAGGCTTTCTTGGACATATGGCAAAGAAAGGGTGTTCGAAGTGTCTGAAGTCATTTTTCCGTACCAGGGAAAACACAGTTGATTATTCAGGGTTTGACGTAGATGATTGGGAACCCCGTACAAATGATTTGCACAAAGAGTATGCACAGAGAGCAAAATTGGCGAAGAATAATGCAGAAAGGGAAAGATTGGAGGGATTGTTTGGAGCCAGACACAGCAGCTTGCATGACTTGCCATATTTTGATGCAGTGAGAATGCACGTTGTTGACCCCATGCATAATATACTGGAAGGGACAGCTAAAAGAATGATGCAGGTGTGGAAAGAAAAGAAGATTTTGTCTCCCGCAGCTTTTAAAGTCATTCAAGCCAGAGTGGATGGTATGAAAATCCCCTCCGATCTTGATTCAGGTCTCCCTCATAAGATCGAAGCATCCTTTGAAGGGTTTACAGCTTCACAATGGAAGCTGTGGGTCTGTACGTACTCTCTTTTTGCTTTGAAAGGGGTGCTAGGAGAAACAGATTATAACATATGGAAATGTTTTGTTGCTGCTGCAAGGGTGCTCTGTAGTAGAATAATAACAGCCAGACAACTGGAGGATGCTCATCAGTGTTTGAAAATATTCTGCAACAGTTTTGAGCGACAATATGGGAAAAAATGGTGTACAATGAATCTGCACCTCCACCTTCATCTTAAACAATGTGTGGAGGACTACGGCCCAGTCCATTCATTTTGGTGCTTTGCCTTTGAAAGGGCCAATGGCACTTTAGGGGATTACCATAATAACAACAAGGATGCTGAAATCATTATGATGAGGAAGTGGCTGTTCAACTGGCAGGTGTTCTCACAACTTAGCAGTGCTATGACACAGAACGATGTACCACCTGAGCTTTTCCCATCTAAACCCTCCAGGGCAGATCATGTGTTAACTTTAGATCAGATACAGATCACAAAGAGACTGGCCGAGAGGAATGATTTACTTGCAGATTTCTCGTACAACGATTGTGAAACAATACTCCCTCCAGTAAAGTCTTGTAGTATGACATATGATGATAACAGGGAGTTACTGGCTATGTTTAAAACCTTATATTCCCACAACATTGTAAATAGAGTGTCTTTAATGTGTAAGCAGTTCGATAGGTGTTCAGTTGGTGGAGATTTATTATCCTCAGAAAATTATAGAACGGATAAGGCTTCCTGTGTATATGCAAAATGGTTTAAGAGCCAAGAAAGGACAGGCAATCCCATGATCGACCCCACTGCTGATGCAAGGCCTGGGCTGATTGTCAGAATGTTAACGGTTTCTGTTTACCTCAATGATAATGATCATGAGAAGAAGGTACAGCACACAGTAGCGGAAGTAAAATGGTTTATGGAACATGGGGATAGATACCATTATGGCAGAAAAGACATGTGTTCTCTCTGGGATGTTAGCTTTGAAGACTCTTCACCTGCCTCTTTCCTACCTCTGACAAGAGTTCTCTCTCGTTGTGCGTATTCAAAATCAAAAGTCCAACTGCCACCTACAAGGGAAGAGACTGTATACACCATTGTACCTCTGTTGTCTGTTAGATGTTTTTAAATTATGAATATTATGCTATGTGTATGAGATATTAAGATATATTATGCTATGTGTATGATGTTAAAACATGACTTCTGTCCATGTTGACTTGATATTAATGCTGGCAGTGTTCCAGTTATACTGTACCTATGTGTATGATGTTAAAACATGACTTCTGTCCATGTTGACATGATATTAATGCTGGCAGTGTTCCAGTTATACTGTACCTATGTGTATGATGTTAAAACATGACTTCTGTCCATGTTGACTTGATATTAATGCTGGCAGTGTTCCAGTTATACTGTACCTATGTGTATGATGTTAAAACATGACTTCTGTCCATGTTGACTTGATATTAATGCTGGCAGTGTTCCAGTTTCCAGTGCGTGTTTGTCTTGTCTTGTATATTGCGGCAAACTAGACAGAGAAAGCTAGGTCCCGCAATTGTATATGTTTGTCTTAAAATTTAAACTGAAACTGAAACTGTTTATTCACATTGATTGGCAGCCAATATGCATTGCTTGGCTGTATTGCACAAGTGATTACATGATGATGTATGTGTCTGTGTATATTTGTATATGATGTCGCAATATCAGCTATCAGTTGCCTGGCGGCAACATTGTATTGCCATGTTGCAATTTCAAATAAATAAATAAATAAAAGTGTTCCAGTTATACTGTACCTATGTGTATGATGTTAAAACATGACTTCTGTCGGCATGTTGACTTGATATTAATGCTGGCAGTGTCCCAGATACATATTAGTAAAATGTACTTGTATTAGTGCCTACATTGAGCCTATTGCAATTGTAGTGAGGTGTTGACAACTCAATAAAGTTTCTTATGTTGACCAGCCCCAGCCTCAAGGTGTCATGTATTATGTGAGGACCCTCCCTCAAAATCCTACCCTACCCAATTTGTTTTACATTTAGCCTACCCTGATAGAAACCATATACCATCATTTTTTAGTGACTTACCAGTATAGGTTACTATCCATGTAGGGTATGGTAAAGTTAGATGTATTTGTGCTGGTAGATGAATTCATCTTCTAATGATAAGTCAAACCAAAAAAGCTTGATTGTTTTCCACAGCTATTATTATTATCTCTTCTGTTACTTATTATCATTGCTACTATGTAATGTTATAGAACCGTATACATTCTTTTTACAATAAGACATTCTTTTTACAATAAGACATTGGGCAATAATTTTCAATAATGTATAGATACGTAATACAGTATATATTTTATAGTTAGGTAATTTTCAGTTACCAGGGTACCAAAAATATGTGTGTAATGTGAAATTCTGGTACCAAAGTAGCCTGGGTACAATCCGGATTTTTTCTGTGCAACGCTCGAAAAAATGTACAAACAATTCTTACAAGCATTGCGGAGCGAAAATCTGGATGGTACCCAGACTACTACCAAACATCAAGATCATTTTTTCATTCAGTAAATGCAATCCCAAAGATTCTTAAGTGTCCTTGCCTTAAATAAGCAAAAGATAGTGTTACTATAAACAAGCCAAAGATACATGCCAAAGGGTTAACCTTTCAATAAATTAAAGGCTTATAGTAAGCTTATTGGAGGCACATAATATCCCATGGTATGCATTTAACCTGTTACATTAGATAAAATCTAATACTGTATTTGTGTTGTAAATATCATTCAACACCAATTGGTATGAACTATGAATAAGTAAGAACCAAAGACTACAGACTACACCTGAATAAGCATTGCAGACTCAACTAAACTGAAGGGTTGAGATATTCGAGAGTAATTTCCGTATGAAGAAAACCTGGATGTTGACAAAACTTTCATCAGTGGGTCTAAGAAGGTCTATGTTTAATGTTTTGCAATATTTAGGCCACACCAACTTAATTTCTTGTTAAATGGATTCGCCCGCTTCATTTTTTTATTGGCAAATAAAACTAAAAATTCAGAATCAACTGCAAAATGCTCATATCTTGCCCTGAACGGTTGAAAACAGTCCTTTTCATAATAGTTGTTAAAGTTATTCCATCTTTCAATGCAATGATATCATTAAAAGTTCAAAATTCATTGTTTAAATTTTGAACCAGCCTGGTGTTGACTTCATGGCTCCTAACATACCATTTTGGGCCATAATATATAGGATGCCTAGCCCTATTTTTATTTTCTTTTGCCCGCCCGCTCCATTATTTTTCTAGAAAAATCCGTTAACCAAGAAATTAGATTGGTGTGGCCTTATTGATATTCCAATTTTCACGCCAAAATAAGATGAGTATATGATGATTAGACATCATTTCGAAACCAAAAAAAAAAGTTCGTTTGAGGATTTTTGGCTGAAAAGTTGGAATTCGCAAAACGACAAGCGTTTCACTCGGAACGACTTTTAACAGGTGCCGCAATGTCCCCCGATGTCATTTGTGCGAATTGGCGATGTTACGGCATAATTTGCATGAATGAATGAAAAAGAGCATTTTTGGCTGAAAAGTTGGAATTCGCAAAACGACAAGCGTTTCGTTCGAAACGACGTGTATTAGGTGCCGCAATGTCCCCCGATGTCATGTGTGCGAATTGGTGATGTTACGGCATAATTTGCATAAATGAATGAAAAAGAGCATTTTTGGCTGAAAAGTTGGAATTCGCGAAACGACAAGCGTTTCGTTCAAAACGACTTGTATCAGGTGCGGCAATGTCCCCCGATGTCATGTGTGCGAATTGGTGATGTTACGGCATAATTTGCATAAATGAATGAAAAAGAGCATTTTTGGCTGAAAAGTTGGAATTCGCGAAACGACAAGCGTTTCGCTCAAAACGACTTTTTTTAGGTGCCGCAATGTCCCCCGATGTCATGTGTGCGAATTGGTGATCTCACGGCATAATTTGCATAAATAAGACAAAAAAAGCATTTTTGGTCAACTGCACACAGTCATGGATACAGGAAGATTCCGAACAAATGCAAACAAATCCCAGATCCTTAAAGGATACATGAAAATACCCCAAGGATGCGACAACGTATCTGCTGGTCCACTCTTGTACAGAAGGTTTTTTTTGCCTCACTTGACAAAATTGAGTCGTTCCAAATAATGAGATACATACCTGATCAAAAGTCGTGTGCGAATTGGTGATGTTACGGCATAATTTGCATAAACGACACAAGAAAAGCATTTTTGGCTGAAAAGTTGGAATTCGCGAAACGACAAGCGTTTCGCTCGAAACGACTTTTTTTAGGTGCCGCAATGTCCCCCGATGTCATGTGTGCGAATTGGTGATCTCACGGCATAATTTGCATAAATAAGACAAAAAAAGCATTTTTGGTCAACTGCACACAGTCATGGATACAGGAAGATTCCGAACAAATGCAAACAAATCCCAGATCCTTAAAGGATACATGAAAATACCCCAAGGATGCGACAACGTATCTGCTGGTCCACTCTTGCACAGAAGGTTTTTTTTGCCTCACTTGACAAAATTGAGTCGTTCCAAATAATGAGATACATACCTGATCAAAAGTCGTGTGCGAATTGGTGATGTTACGGCATAATTTGCATAAATGAATGAAAAAGAGCATTTTTGGCTGAAAAGTTGGAATTCGCGAAACGACAAGCGTTTCGCTCGAAACGACTTTTATCAGGTGCCGCAATGTCCCCCGATGTCATGTGTGCGAATTGGTGATGTTACGGCATAATTTGCATAAATGAATGAAAAAGAGCATTTTTGGCTGAAAAGTTGGAATTCGCGAAACGACAAGCGTTTCGTTCGAAACGACTTTTTTTAGGTGCCGCAATGTCCCCCGATGTCATGTGTGCGAATTGGTGATGTTACGGCATAATTTGCATAAACGACACAAGAAAAGCATTTTTGGCTGAAAAGTTGGAATTCGCGAAACAACAAGCGTTTCGCTCGAAACGACTTTTTTTAGGTGCCGCAATGTCCCCCGATGTCATGTGTGCGAATTGGTGATGTTACGGCATAATTTGCATAAATGAATGAAAAAGAGCATTTTTGGCTGAAAAGTTGGAATTCGCGAAACGACAAGCGTTTCGTTCAAAACGACTTGTATCAGGTGCGGCAATGTCCCCCGATGTCATGTGTGCAAATTGGTGATCTCACGGCATAATTTGCATAAATGAATGAAAAAGAGCATTTTTGGCTGAAAAGTTGGAATTCGCAAAACGACAAGCGTTTCGCTCGAAACGACTTTTATCAGGTGCCGCAATGTCCCCCGATGTCATGTGTGCGAATTGGTGATGTTACGGCATAATTTGCATAAACGACACAAGAAAAGCATTTTTGACTGAAAAATTGGAATTCGCGAAACGACAAGCGTTTCGCTCGAAACGACTTTTTTTAGGTGCCGCAATGTCCCCTGATGTCATGTGTGCGAATTGGTGATCTCACGGCATAATTTGCATAAATAAGACAAAAAAAGCATTTTTGGTCAACTGCACACAGTCATGGATACAGGAAGATTCCGAACAAATGCAAACAAATCCCAGATCCTTAAAGGATACATGAAAATACCCCAAGGATGCGACAACGTATCTGCTGGTCCACTCTTGTACAGAAGGTTTTTTTTCGCCTCACTTGACAAAATTGTGTCGTTCCAAATAATGAGATACATACCTGATCAAAAGTCGTGTGCGAATTGGTGATGCTACGGCATGATTTGCATAAATGAATGAAAAAGAGCATTTTTGGCTGAAAAGTTGGAATTCGCGAAACGACAAGCGTTTCGCTCGAAACGACTTGTATCAGGTGCCGCAATGTCCCCCGATGTCATGTGTGCGAATTGGTGATGTTACGGCATAATTTGCATAAATGAATGAAAAAGAGCATTTTTGGCTGAAAAGTTGGAATTCGCGAAACGACAAGCGTTTCGCTCGAAACGACTTTTATCAGGTGCCACAATGTCCCCCGATGTCATGTGTGCGAATTGGTGATGTTACGGCATAATTTGCATAAACGACACAAGAAAAGCATTTTTGGCTGAAAAATTGGAATTCGCAAAACGACAAGCGTTTCGCTCGAAACGACTTTTATCAGGTGCCGCAATGTCCCCCGATGTCATGTGTGCGAATTGGTGATGTTACGGCATAATTTGCATAAACGACACAAGAAAAGCATTTTTGGCTGAAAAATTGGAATTCGCAAAACGACAAGCGTTTCGCTCGAAACGACTTTTATCAGGTGCCGCAATGTCCCCCGATGTCATGTGTGCGAATTGGTGATGTTACGGCATAATTTGCATAAACGACACAAGAAAAGCATTTTTGGCTGAAAAATTGGAATTCGCAAAACGACAAGCGTTTCGCTCGAAACGACTTTTATCAGGTGCCGCAATGTCCCCCGATGTCATGTGTGCGAATTGGTGATGTTACGGCATAATTTGCATAAACGACACAAGAAAAGCATTTTTGGCTGAAAAATTGGAATTCGCAAAACGACAAGCGTTTCGCTCGAAACGACTTTTATCAGGTGCCGCAATGTCCCCCGATGTCATGTGTGCGAATTGGTGATGTTACGGCATAATTTGCATAAACGACACAAGAAAAGCATTTTTGGCTGAAAAATTGGAATTCGCAAAACGACAAGCGCTTCGCTCGAAACGACTTTCATCAGGTGCCGCAATGTCCCCCGATGTCATGTGTGCGAATTGGTGATGTTATAGCATAATTTGCATAAATGACACAAGAAAAGCATTTTTGGTCAACTGCACACAGTCATGGATACAGGAAGATTCCGAACAAATGCAAACAAATCCCAGATCCTTAAAGGATACATAAAAATACCCCAAAGATGCGACAACGTATCTGCTGGTCCACTCTTGTACAGAAGGATTTTTTTGCCTCACTTGACAAAATTGAGTCGTTCCAAATAATGAGATACATACCTGATCAAAAGTTGTGTGTGAATTGGTGATGTTATGGCATAATTTGCCTACGGATAGCGGATTTGATAGGATCCCTGGTCGTGGGTTGGGCTAGCGGATCCGTAAAGATACGGATAGCGGATTTGTTAGGATCCCTGGTCGTTCATTTCTCCAACGGATTCGTAGAAGATACGGATAGCGGATTTGATAGGATCCCTGGTCGTGGGTTGGGCTAGCGGATCCGTAGAAGATACGGAAAGCGGATTTGATAGGATCCCTGGTCGTGGGTTGGGCTAGCGGATCCGTAGAAGATACGGAAAGCGGATTTGATAGGATCCCTGGTCGTGGGTTGGGCTAGCGGATCCGTAGAAGATACGGAAAGCAGATTTGATAGGATCCCTGGTCGTGGGTTGGGCTAGCGGATCCGTAGAAGATACGGAAAGCGGATTTTATAGGATCCCTGGTCGTGGGTTGGGCTAGCGGATCCGTAGAAGATACGGATAGCGGATTTGATAGGATCCCTGGTCGTTCATTTGGCTAGCGGATTCGTAGAAGATACGGAACGCGGATTTGACAGGATCCTTATAACCACCAATGTACTTCTTTGATAGAGTGGGCACTGTTAAACCTGTCTATGTTAATAAGAAAATTGAATGAGTGAATGAAAAAGTTTATTCCTCTCGATCCTTGCAAATGTTTTTATTTAAGGATTCGTGCAAATGATATATCCGTATTCGTTTACAGTTAGGGATTCGAGCATATAAAACATCGTATCCATAGTGTATCTGCTATCCGAGCGGATACGGTATCACATCCGTTGGGGATTTTGTCGTATCCTTAACTGATTTGGCATTTGTTCGCATTTGTTCGAAATCTTCCGCATCCGTGACGGATCGATTTGACGGATGCGACGGTATCTGCCGGGATCCGTAGCCATTTTGCCCAGTGCTATTTATCAAAGGTGATGTGTATAAACATCTTTTCTGAGAAATTTGTTTTACAATTATGAAAATGTTTCATTGGCAATTTGCACATTTTCTTACTATAATCCTGGAACAGTTACATGTAGTAAAATAATAGAACACACTTTAATTGCTGAGTTTAACTATAAATTAATTGTTTCTATATTCTTATAATATATTTAAAAATGATTCAACAAGAATAAAAAGTACCATGGTGAAATTTGCCCCCTGCACCTGTTCTGCTTTTGCTGCTCATGGACTTCTGCTGCATCTGTTGTTTATTTCTGAAAAAAAAATCGGTTAAAAGAACAAGCATGATTACAAGTGGTCACATTATGAATAACAATACACTATGCAGTCTCTAAAATACTTGGGCCATCAACAGAATAGTTATCTGAGGGACCAGGAAACATGTAGCCACAATGGCAAGATGACCGCTGCAGAGGTGGCCGCATGATTACATACAATCTTCTTAACATCACAAATTATGGTGCACACACACCATGTTTTTATTTAAAAGCATAAAATGCTGTTTGGTAACGTACTACAGACACCATTGATTGTAATTTGAAAAAACAGCTAGAAATTACAGTTTAGCTCTTTAGAGTCAGAATTCTGCATGCAATTGTTTCTTATTGTGGATTTTGTAATATAAACATGCATTAAAAGCACAAAAACATATAAAACGTTAAAAGAAATGTCTCACATTTTGTACTTCTCCCAGAGGCGCGGATTCTGCACTCTCTCAACTTTTAGATTGACCTTGTCGTCTCCCATTGTCTGTCTGAAAAGCTTCTCCACCTGAAAAAAGGGAAAATGTACTTTCCCATCGTCTGTCAAGGTTCAATATGACCCACAGGCCCAAGCATCAACGCTTGTATAAGTATATGGATGAATGTTGGCATTCTACAGCAATGAAGTCACCTTCATGTATTGGCGGATTTGGCAAAAGTTTTGTATTTTTTTATATGTAATCAAATCACTGTCAATTCGTTAGATGAAGAAATTAAACTGTAACTACTTTGGGGGCAAATATGAGCATGTGCATTTTTGAGTTGATTCAGAACCAGAATTTTTTTTTTTTTTACAAATCAGAATGAAGAGGCGAAACCGAGAACCAACAAATAAAATTGGTGTGGCCAAAATCTTTCTTAACAGGAAGAAGGTAGGAAACCATGTGGCAGTTTCACAAAACAAGTGAAGTGAACTGTGCCTGAAGAGTGTTTTACCAAAGGGAATCTTTTTAGCAATAGAAGAAAGATCACGTACCATTCAATTGAAAAGCTAATCCAACATACGGCTCCATACATTAATACTGAAAATGCATCCATACACCAAAAGACATACCTCTTTAAACTCTGAGTTTGTAGGTGCCAGAGGAACTGTAATGAAGGCTTTGTTCTGTGGCATTGGTTTCCAGGATGTTGGAAGTGATCCTTTTGTCATAGATGAGGGCTGGCTTGTGTCCGTGGTGCTGTTAGGTCAAATAAAATACATATATAACTTGAATTATTAAGTCAAATAAAATACATATTATTTTAGGTCAAATAAACTTAAATTATTAAGCCAAATAAAACACATATTATCATTAAGTCAAATATTAATTAAGTCAAATAAAATACATATATAACTTGAATTATAACTTGATTTATTCATTATTGCAACTCCTTTACCAGGACACACAGTTATAACTTGTAAATTGTTACTGTGATTCTATGCTTTTCTGTTTATAGATTCAAAGTATAGGTAATATCGCATATTTTAATTTTTGTCTGTCTTTTAAATGTGTGCTTAAAAATAAAGGCTGCAGAGGGTATATAATCTCCATTTTTTTTGCCTCTGGTCTTACCTAGCTGTCTTAAATTGGACAAATACTGGACGCCTTCGCACAAGTCTCATGGTAGAGTAACGCGGATTCAAGTTCTGCTGGTACATCCCAGTGAAGTCAAGAATGTAGGGGAACTCGTCTGTTCGGAAGTTGTAGCTGGACTGTTTCTGTAGGTACGCTCGCTCTATATCATCAGACGTAATGTTAGATGGTGATACATACTGTAGCAAAAAAGACATTGTACATGTGCGTTATTTATTTTATTCTGTTCTAATTTGGTGCCATAAAAATAAACAACAGTTGTGTATTTGTATTTAATTTGAAACAACTTCAAATCCTTTTTTTACACTGATCATCTATCACAGTCACAGTCTTATCCCTTTTACCAAACTGTTTTTTTAATAACAATGATGTTGTTGCCATTGAATTTTTTTAGGCATGTTGCTTATCAAGCATTGTCCATGTTTTCAGAAACAGCTTATCCAGTCAGTTTTAGGGCATTCAACAAGGTGACATCTTATTAGGCCAAAATAATACCAAACGTTTTTGTGGTAAACCCTTATAATAAAGACCGATTTTTGTCAAACAACCCATTCCTGTCAGAAATTATCCGGATGGCCCAAATAGAATAGGCAATAAAATATGATGCCAAACCTTGGTACTGCCATATTCACACCATGATGCTTTGTCTTCCCAGTACCACACCCATTTCGTTGACCACGCTCCATTGGCAGACTGGGCAGATGATGGGGTAGACAGCCGACGGATCCAGACGTATTTTCTTGGTGGGGAATCGGAGATTTCTAACTCCATTGTGTCGAAGTGAACCGTCCAGCCATTTCTGCAAAACAATAGCAACAACAACAACAAAAATGTAAGATAATACAATGGCAGCGGCAGGAAATATATGTATTTTTTTGGGGGGTGGGGTATGTGAGATATAGTAGATATGATAGAACATGTCACTAAGGTAGGCAAAACTAGATTATCTGAAATGTTAAAGGTAAAAACAATTTAGTAAAAATACTTACAAGCTTGATTCAACGTCACCGAGGTTGAAGCTGGCATTAGAGGGTTGGGAGAAGACTTCTTCCATCTTTGATGTAACTTCTGGACTGAAGCTCACCCATTGATTACCTAAAAAAGGATAAATGGAAAACGGTTAAATGGAATTTTTAAAGTAACTCGAGTTTCACCATTTCTATTGGTTATGACTGAAGAAAAAAAATCGTCATCGATTGTGCAAAAAGTATCCCTTTTTAGACGTTATATTCAATGATTATATTCCCTACCAAATTACAATGCTAGTACTTATCTTAAGAAGACTTTTCTAGCATGTCTTGATTTGATTTGATTTATTAGGCTGATAACACATATGTATGCAGCCAGGACTGCCCAACTAGCCGGAGGCTATTATAAAGGGATAGCCCTCACAACAATAACATAAACAATTCGGAACAGTTAACAGTGTCAGTTACAATTCAGATAGACATACTACTACTACATAACAGATGTAGTGGCCAAACGTTAGCAAGCTAGAATATCCGGCCTGGTCGTCGTGCGTTTACTACAATTACATTTATATGTCAGGTTAATAAACTATTACATAACAGATGTTGCGCACTATATATCTATTTATTAAGATATAGTCCTTAAGTTATGTAAAACGATGTTCATCTTGACATACTTACACAAAGAGACACCCACACAGAAACACACAAACACATACTCAACACTGAAAATCACACACACACACACACACACACACACACACACACACACACACACATATATATATACACAAACACACACACACAAACACACACACACATAAACACACACATAAACACACACACAGAATCACACACACACACACACACACACGCACAATCACACAAACACACAACGCACAAACACACACACACAAACACAACGCACAAACACACACACAAACACATACACACACAAACACACACGCATATGCACAAACACACCTACACACACCTACACACACACAAAACACACAAACACACACACAAACACTCACCCACATATACATAAACAAACAGCCTAAAACATACCCTTCTTTGCGAATGATAGATTTAAGGTTTAAATAAAGAGGGAGCGAGTCACAGTCACATGAACAAACAAATAAATGAATGCCTTGAATTCAATTCAATTAATATATTAGAATACGTAAATGGGGGCAAGTAACAGTGAGTGTATATGTGGATAAATCAATTAGTGAACGAGTTAGTAAATAAACACATTCCACTCCATCCCTATGCAAACATGGGGTCTAGGCCTTTTTTGTAAACACTCATTATATAAACACTTTCTGTGGAAATAATGAAAATTCACACCTTGACACTGTACGTCCTGGTACTGCCACAAATAAGGAGTCCTAATGTGATGGTGGCCACACAGTCGAGATTTGAGACATCTCCCGGAAAGGAAGCCTTCGCAAATGGTCGTATCACTGTCCAAGATACGTTCTTTGTTTGGATCGTGGACTTTAGCCTTGGGTTTTACCGCTAGTGTGGATGCATTAGCTTGGGCGTTTGGTGGTGGTCGTGTCACTACAGTTGCTGGAGGAATCAGTAACGTCTTCAATACAGTTCGCTGATCTGCTTTGAAAAGTCGGAACTGGAACAAAACCCTACGTGTTTGTGGAGTATCAAATGAGCCCTCATGGCTTAGTCGACACGCTTTTTTCGTAGCACAGCGACCTCTGACGAAGTCTGAACAAATATGAACGTCAGGGCACAGGTCAGCTGTAACACATCTATCGGTGTTGTACGCATGACACACCTTAGGTGTTGACAAGCGAATGACATTGATGATCTCATCGTCCTGTAGACTATCAAGTTGAAGTTCACGAATAACTGTTCCTGCTTGCTCACTCTGTAAGTCATGGGTGAACTTGCACCTAGCGCCACGGTTACAGGATCCCTGCAGAAAGTTGCGACAGAGGTGGAAGAAGCGGCACTGGTTTCCCTTCTTACATCCGATTTTGGTAGTGTGGCCGAAGCAAAGGCGTGCTCTCGGGACCATAACAGAAACCACGGGTTCACCATTTGTCGTCTCGTGAAGGCGGAACTTGTTTGGGTGTTGGCGAAACCACCATGAAGCTTGATCAAAGTCCAACCCAAGTTGCTGAAACTCTTGTTGCCAAAGAACATCGAGTTTTGCTGTTCCGTTGTACTGTGAGCAAAGCACTTCCAACATCTCCAGTTCTGAAAGAGCTGCTGTTGCCATAGTTAATCGACGGTCCTGTATATCTGCACCCACAGTGAGTAAAATCGTACCACAACCTGATCTAATATGGCGGACACGCTTTGAACTTTGCCCCTTAGGCTTTCAGCGTTGACCTGGTGACCTCTGGGGTTCTCATATTTCTTCAAATCTTCGTCGTCTTTAAATTGCAGTCGGGGTCGCCAAGTATAAGAACTCCATTTCTTGTTTAATCAAGAATAAAATCCTGGACCACACGGAAGTACAAAGGCGATGCTTCAACGGATAGCCAGTTTATGCCCATGTCGGTTCTTTTGGTCTCCTTCCTGTCTTACTCCGAGTAGAGTCTAAAAAGAGTCCGACCTAGCGTCTAAAATGTGTCCAAAAAGCGTGCCTTCGGGTTGATTTCCTTTTTACATTTAAACCTCCGCGTAAACAAAATATATATAAGGGGAATGTTTGTTTATTACTAACAGAATTAACTTTAAAGTAGAAAGATTTTAGTATACAAGCCATTGTCTTGTGTGTACCCTTTACTAGAGCTTTCTGTAAAGGTCGGCACGAAGGGACCTCTTGCGGATAGTGGATAAATTGCAGGTACAATTGTCATGGGGATCATTACATTGAGACGATTTCGTGACCATTTTTATTGAATAAAGAATAATACCGTACTTGTAATAAGCACAGTAAATTGCATAGATGACATACTCCTCAGACTCTAAATCGTATATAATAGGGAAAAAACTTACTTGTACTTACTTGTAAAAAACAAGGCAGGCCAAAAAGCAAGAATTGATCGTTTTCTAATTTTGATATCATAAACCTTGTTAAACATGAATTGGGGCAAAATTATAGTAGAAAAGAGGTTATTTCGCCATCATAGGTGTTTGTTCACAATGTGACACCTTAGACTACATAATCGGATTTTAAGCGGCCAAGAACAGGAGGAAGACTAACACATAAATGTAAATTACAGACAAGTATAGCACTTAATTCATACATACATACATAACATACATACATACATTCTACATTTCTTAATTATTGAAAAATTGAAACGAATGATTTTTGGGTTTCACGTTTTGTTCATTGGCTGTTTTCATACTCCGGATTTGATGTAACGCACTTAGACTTAGTAGTATCTTTTGTGCCTTGTTCTTGTCTTTTAGGGGTGTCTTTAATGAATGCTCGACTTGCCTCTAGGTGACTTCTTGCGATGTACGGGGTCAGTTTGGGCCTGGAGTTCCGAAATATACTACACCGAGAATCCCTCCATCGTCTCCGCCCATCACAGTACCGATATAAAGAGAAGCCAAAGGAAATTATCAACATGCTGGTCAAGCATGGGAAGAGTTGTTACCACTGATTAGTGCGACATGAAATGGGGGGTTATACTAGTGAGAACTTCGTAAACTTGTGTTATTAATTATATAAAATTGTAAGCTTGGTGGCGTCTCGCAATTGATTATTACGGTATTAAATTAAAAGAATATTTATTCTCTTGACTCGGAAATGACTAACTTGAAATTTCGTTTTTTTTCTTCTTGGATTTTTTTAATGAATGCAATTCTGCAAAGCGGCCAGTTGTTAAGGATACAAATCTTAACATTTTTCAAAATTCCATTTAAGTTATAAAATCCAATACCCACCAATGTTTCTAGAATCATGGTATATTTATGATTTGAGCTTAAGTATACAACGGTAACAAAAGACAAAAGCTCAAAACCAACAGCAACTTTTATTAAAAGATCATCAAATACAAACTTAATTACTTCTTTAAACGCTGCCAACAGTATTAAGAATTGCTGTAATAATTGCAATTCCTTTTATTAAAATTTGGGAAAATGCATGCTCTAATCAATTCTAATTTAATAATGCAAATTATAGTAATGCAAAATACACATTTATTGTACACTTTTGTCCTTGCACTAGACTTCTCATTGTCTCATAGATTACTATTTTTTTATGGGTTCACCACACCACGAAGTGGTGGTGAACCCATATTGCTTTTTCTGATGTTTCTTCTCCTCCTCCTCCTCCTTCTCCTTCTCCTCCTGCCACTTCTTTAAATTGATTCAACTCCTTCATTTTGGGGCGAAATTACCTGTAATTTCGTATAGAGGTAGAGTGGGTAAATACCCTTAGGCGTTTTTTAAATTTTTTTGATACAAGCTTTTACAATCGTTTTATTTGCTTTTTAGTGGTCCCCATAGGAAAGTACTGTGGGGGCGTACGCGCGTGACGTAATAAGAAAGGAATTCGGGGGAAGGCCCAAATATGGGCATACAAGCAGGTGTGGTCATGTTTGCAGATGTGGCTGTTGATTGGCTGTTGGCTAATTAATTTATTTACTACCATTTTCACGTACCATAGGGGGATTACCAGCGCGGCTGGTCAACGCGGTCTCGGCCGTGGGCCATCGGCTGGTCCACGCGGTCTCGGCCGTGGGCCATTACTATTTGATACTCTGATATTGGATACCGATTCGTGTGATTCCTATAAACATTTCACCTAACTACGAACTAGTTGGAAGAATTATAGCTGCATGGATGCCTGTATATGATTTTAACAAACACTGAAAATCTGACGCAAAAACTGGCAGATATTTTGCTCTTCTCTGTTGGAACAACGCAAGCGGGAGGTCAATGACCTGCGCCCCGCGAGTACTGTAAACAACGGTACGTAATGTGTATCGTCGGCGCACGCGCGCGCGCCACGGTATCAACAATTTTCCACAATCTTCACCGACTAGTATTATATATTCTGTTATCGATTTCTGAAGAATCACCAAAATTGTAGAGTGTATCTCCTAGAAAGTCCCTTACTAGTACTTGAAGCGATCGTTACCGCCATGTTGTTCACTTTATATGACATACAATGCAGAGAGTAATGGAAAC